ATATATATTAAAAGTTAAAAAATTAAGTGGGGGGAGAGAAAAAACTTTAAAAAAATAATTAATATATAAAATATAAAATAAAATTTAAATTAAAAATTTATTAATAAAATATAAAAGTTTTTAATTAAATATATATAAAAAATATAAATTATATTTATAAAATAAATTTTAAATTTATATATAAATTTTTTAAAAATATATAATTAATAAATATTAAATAAAAATATTTTTTTATTTTAAAATAAGACTTTTTAATTATATATATTAATTTATATTTAAAGATTGAATTTTATTATAATAAAATATATTTATAAAATTTATATTTATTAATGTTTTATTAAAAAATTAAATTAATAATAATAATTTAATATTGTAGTTTGAAAAAAATATATATAAACTATTTATATAATTTACTTTATATATATAATTATATTTTGTAGTTAACAATCTCATTATTCAGAAAATCAAATTCTTGATTGTTGTAATTAACTTTCATTGTGATTTGAAACATTTAAGCTAAGCTAGCAAGATATGATAATAGAAAGTATTATAAGAAAAATACTGTTAGCAAATGCTGCAAATGTTATAATCACATGATTTACTATGGTTTTATTATATTTATAACTACTTTGTATAGTTAAAATGTAGTTATAGTTAAGTTTCAGCAATCACATCAAAACATTCAGCCACTCTTCATTATATAATTACAAAGCCACAATGTATGATGATTTTGATAGCATACATCTATTTTTATTTCACAATGTAAGTGGCATATTTCACTTGAAATAAAGGTTTAGAGGATTCAGTCAGCCTTTGAATCATAAGATAATTTAACTTTGACAAAAAAGAAAAAATTTATTTAGATCTGTTCAGAAAGATCTATTCAAAGTCTAAATTTAAATTAAATATAAATAAGATATGAATGAAAAGCAGCTGAATTGATTTTTTTAAAACTTTGTTAAGATATTAGATTTTCTTGTAGATTTGAAATTCAATGACTTTAAACCTTTTCATATATGAAACTCATTTAACTCAATGTGGCTGACTTTTACTGACTATATACCTCTCAAACCTCTTAGCATATGTGTAAGGCGTCAAAGCTGTTTGATCCAGGCCAAGAAGGCTGCAGCAGCCGGTATTACAAGCAGGCCCATAAGCATGTATAGTAGAATAGCAAGATATATAAGAGAGCATTTGGTTGAATGCGGTGGATTTTACACGGTGGGCGGATTCAACGGGTGGCATCTTGGTTAGTTAGTTACTTGAGCAGTTGAGGGGAACCAAGATGACCAAACCCCGTAGTTTATGGATGGCCAACTTGATGTCCCATGG